AAAAAAAAAAAAAAAATTAGCTGGGTGTGGTAGCGTGTGCCTGTAGTTCCGGCCCCTTGGAAGACTGAGACGGAAGGATCACTGGAGCCCAGCAGGTCGGGATGCTGGGGTGACCCTGAGCATGCCACTGAACTCCAACCTGGGCTACCGAGTGAGATGTCAACTCAAAAAAAGAAAAAAGAGAATCACCAGATTTATAAAACAAAAAATACTATTCTGCTGATCATAATGACTCATGCCTGTAATCCCAGTGCTCTGGGAGGCTGAAGCAGGAGGATTACTTGTGGCCAGGAGTTTGAGACCAGCGTGGGCAACATAGCAAGACCCTATTTCTAAAAAAAAAAAAAAATCACTTAGCTGAGCGTGGTAGTGGCACCTGTAGTCCTAGCTACTCAGGAGGCTGAGGTGGGAGGACCGAAGCCAGGAACCCGAGGCTGCAGTGAGCCACAATCACACCACTGTACTCTAGCCTGGGCAACAGAGAGAGACCCTGTTTTTAAAAAAAGAAAAGAATTCAATCGTGGTGCCCAGCCAGACAATGTGGCCTCATTTGAGGACAGTCTTGGAGTTGTCTGGCGACGGGGGCTCCTCTGTGCCCCCAGAGGGGCTCAGGGATGTTGTGAATATCTCACCTGGAGACAACGACGTTAGGCCCTGACAGAAGGGCCCCTTCTGATCTGCCACATTCATTAGGCAAAGGCAGGAAAGCTTGGGGAAGGGGAATCCCATGGAGTGGACCAGGGCGCCTGCGCCTCCAGCAGGGCAGGGCTGTGCAGGGCTGGGCTTGCCCCGGCTTCACGGGGGGCTCTTGGCCTAGTCCCAGGAGGACTCCTCGACGAGGCTGTGTCTGTGCAGGAGCGAGGGGGGAGGACTCCAAGGCGGGGGCAGGGGTGCCTGGATGGCAGACGGAGCTGTGCCCAAGGCTGGCGATGCTCACGGAGCGCGGGGGCCCTCGTTTGCCAAGGCCCCTTATAAGGGCCTGAGCCAAATCCTGGTTTCACAAAACCTGGATCCGCCCCTGCATGCTCCCCTGGCTGGAGGCTCGCTGATTCTCAGGGGAGTCTGCCCTGCCCGTCCTGCCCATTCCCCTCCGCAAAGCCTCACGACCTCGGATCTGGCCAGTGTCCGGTTAGGGCTCCTGTGTTCGGCCCACCCCGACTACCCAGGCCCAGCCGCTTCGCCCCCTGGCAGTAGGACCCTGGAGCTGCAGGTCCTGCCCCGTCTGTGGGAAGAGGCAGCTCCCTCCCAGCTAGAGCCTGTGTCTGAGGCTGTGGGAGCCCGAATCCAGGGTCTGGTTCCCCTGGGGGTCACCTGCGGCTTGGGGTGCCGGCTCGCCCCTTCATTGGATGTGTATTAACTCAGCAGATGGCTACTGGCACCTACCGAGGAGCAGGCAGTGCTTGGCAGGCGACAACTGGTTGTTAACGAGGTGCTCACTGGCTCCTGGGCGAGACTGGTGTCGATCAAGCAGCCGCAGAGCTAATCACACAAACTGATGGGTGCCAACAAGAGGCTGTACTGGAGGATTTGACCTAGGCAGGGAAAATCCAGGAGAGCCTCCCGGTGGAGGTGACACTTGGGCTGAGTCTGAATGAGTTGCTGTTCACCAGGTGACGAAAGGAGGGAGGAGTGTTTCAGATTGGGGAGGGAATACCAGGACAGTATGTGCAAAGGCCCTGTGGCCCACCGTGGCCAGAATGGCTCTCTGAAGCGACCATTCTGGCTGCCATGTGCAAAGTGAATGAGGGAAGGCCAGCGAGCTTGGGGGAAGGAGGGTCACATCGTGGGCACACGAGAGGGTTAGTTGCTGGCTCAGGGTGGTGGCGGCAGAGACGAAGAGCTTTTGGGGGACTGGAGAAGTAGGAGGCAAAATTGAGAAGATGTGCTGGGGTGGGGGAGGGGAGAAGGGAGGCCAGAACAGCGGTGATGTCAAGGCTTTCGGCCGGATGGGGACTCCACCGTCCTGTGCAAGGGGACACATGCGGGTCGGGGTGGGCTTGGGAGGGACGTCCACATGGAGGGCTGTGAGCTGCCTGACAGTAGAAAGCAGCAAAGGAGTGGAGCGAGCCAGACCTGAGGGCGTGCGTGTCTGTGTCTGGACGGAAGCCAGGGGCCTCGGACAGCATTGGGCCCCTCCGCCACTTTCCACAGATGGGTGGCTGGAGCCACGTGTCCATTCAAGAAACAGGTGCCTTGTGTTGCCTCTGGGCCAGGCACCAGGTGTGCAGGGGGATGCAGCGGGGACCAGGCTTGTCCAAGCAGCCCCACTCCTGGAGGGCCTGGGATGGGAACTCAGAGCCCCTTGAACTTCCCCGCTGACTCCTGGCATCGAGGGAGATGGCTCCCAGGGCCCCTCCCGTGGGCTGGTAACTGCAGCCGTCGCATTTATCGAGGACTCCTGTCTGCAGGAGAGGCGCTGGGCCGGTCACCAAACACTGATCAGCTTCGAAGCCTCCATTAGCCAGAAAGGACAGTGGGCAGAGAAAGGGCCCCAGCTGCTGGGAGCAAAGCCAAGACTCGCACTCCAAAGCGTCCGGCTCCAGCAGGGCACCTCCACCTATGCCTGTGTCCCTACCCCCCGGGCCATCCCTGAGCTCCCTGCGTGATTTTTGCCTTGTGCCTGATTCACGGGAGTTTTCTTTTCATCGACTCACTCTTTTGAGATAAAAACCAACTCATGTAACCATAAAAATAAATACAAGAGAGGCTGGGTGCCGTGGCTCACATCTGTAATCCCAGCACTTTGGGAGGCCAAGGTGGGAGGATTGCGTGAGCCCAGGAGTTCAAGACTAGCCTGGGCAACATAGTGAGAACTTGTCTCTGCAAAAACCAAAATTAAATTAAACTAAGCCAGGCGTGGTGGTGTGCTCCTATAGTCCCAGCTATTCGGGAGGCTGAGGCAGAAGGATCACCTGAGACCAGGAGGTTGAGGCCGTGGTGAGCTGTGATGGTACTGCTGCACTCCAGCCTGGGCGACCGAGTGAGACCAACTTAAACAAAGAAGCAAATAAAAATAAGTACAGGGGGAACTCGCAAAGGGCCATTAGCAAGTGTTAAGAACCTGGTAGCACCAAGTGGAGACTTGGCTTCATGAGATGGATTTTGACAGTAGGTGAATCCTCTGGTGTTATTGTTGCCGCACCCCGGAGGCCCCCAAGATCCCCTTCCTCCACTGTGGCCAGCAGGTTACACTTTGGGGCACGCTGCATCCCTCGAGGGGCACTAGTGTAAATGGGAGAGGATTCTATGCTCCGACAGGGGGCACCGTCATAGTGTATCTTGTTTCTAGAGGTTCACAGTCCCTGTTAGCATATTAAAAGCTCTGAGAAGTCCTGCAGGAAAGAAATATGGTTGATTTAGTCTAACTCAGCAGTCCCATCAAGTATTACCTTTTTTATTTTGTTTTTTATAGAGATGGGGTCTCGCTCTGTTGCCCAGGTTGGAGTGCAGTGGCGCCATCGTAGTTCACTGCTGTAGTAGTTCACTCCTAGGCTCAAGTAATCCTCCTGCCTCAGCCTCCTGAGTAGCTGGGACTACAGGCACCAGCCACCATGCCTGGCTAATTATTTTTTTCTAGAGGCAGGGTCTTGCTACATAGCCCAGGATGGTGTCAAACTCTTGACCACAAATAACCCTCTCACCTCCGCCTCCCAAAGCTCTGGGGTCGCTGTCGTGAGCCACTGTGCCTACCCCTCGGCTGTGTATTTGATGACAAGGCCCTTTGACAAATCCTCCCCAGATCCATTTAAACCAGCAAATACCAGTCTGCAGGCCCTGGGGGCTGCTTCTGCGCTCTCGGTGGGGCCGGAGGCCGGCAGAGCGCCCTGGGTTCCGACTCGCTGGACGACAGGGACGCGGGCTCCAAGGGGATCGGGCCGGACTCTGCCCGCC